GTTTTGTAGAGAAAACATTTCTCTACAAGATGATATATAAGAGTTAATTTTAAAGGTTTTTGGTTTCTTTAAAAAGCGTTTTTCTCAAACCTACGGTCAGTTAAAAACCGTCGGTTATAACCGCGGTTATTAACCGATACGCCTCTCTATTAAAAACGCTTTTTAAAGAAACCAAAAACCTTTAAAATTAACTCTTATATATCATCTTGTAGAGAAATGTTTTCTCTACAAAACTGCCGTTTTAGAAAAATGTTGCAAATCGTTTTTATGAAAATACAAAATATTTATTGTGAATTTTTGAAAAACACGAAAAAATAACCGATGCACTCCTAATCACTGATAATAATAGCAGAAAATACAGACAGTAGCTCATTTTGTTACTTTATTATAAGAAACGTCTTCAGTCATTTTCCTTTCTCGTCTTTGCTTGCGTAAACATCATATGAAAAAAAAATGTTTGCCATTAATATGCAATGTGATGCATCGTTAATTTTAGTCACACTACATCAAGCAGGAAAATGTTAATCTGTCACTTCATTATTGCCAAATCGACTTTTTATACGCTGAAGAGAGTCAGTCCAAATTTTTTTTCTGAATAGCTTATTCAATGAATGTATGGGCAGCAAAATATCTCTTTATTCAAATCACAATAATCAAATCAAATCTCTCTTTAGTCAATTCCAGTGGCGCCACTGTTCGCGCCAAAATGTGAAAAGTGATTTGAATAAAGAGATATTGCAGCCCGCACATTCATTTAATAAGCGGATTCTGTTCAGCGTATAAAAAGTCGGTTTTACTACAATGGGTTGTTTCATTTTCATATATTGTATATCCTATAAATGATTTATAGTGTTAATAGCTGGTCACTGGTTCTAACTCCGAGACATATAGTTTTACACAAAAATTTTAGTCACAGATTTGGGCAAATCTATCTGAAGTGTTCCACATTTTACAAACGTTTTTCCGCTCCATTTTAAACCAATCTAGTTTTGTAGAGCACATCAAGTTACGTAAGACACTGTCTTCTCTCACCTCATAACTGATGCAGACCCCGAGAAAAATGACTTTTATTCTCCCAGTAAAATTATCGGATTCGATGCCACTCTCAGTGTGAATTGATCAGCACCGCGATGAATTTTACAACATGTTCTTCCGTTTTTCGACAAACCGCTTAGGGTCCTTCCACGCAGGTCCGCCCACTATTACATTCACCATTAGCCGCGAAAATTTCACTTTGCCTATCATGTAGAGCATCAAAAATAACCTAAAGGTCCCGCTTACGCTTTTTTGAAAAAACGTGTGGAAATTGTAGCTCTTGACGAGTTGATTCTAATGGTGAAGGAATTGGGTCTCGGTCTAACTTTACATTCGAGTGGTACTCAATTTACTTGAAAATTCCTGAAGTTTGATCTCGATCTTCTTCTAAACGCTCCAAAACTTTTTCGAGATTTTTTCAGAATAGGAACTCTCGTTAGTAGGATCTGTAACTTTGCCCATACAACTATCTTCAACACTTTCTATTTTTCAGTTTTCCGGAAAACTCGTTAAACCTTACTTCATGAAAAGAAACTTAAGCTATTGTGACTCTATATTCCTGTTCAGCATGAAGAATTCAATGTCCTTCAACGTTTTCTGAGGCTTCTTTGTGTTTCCGTATCACAGTTTTCTAAGAGGATTTCTGGAAAACTGAGGGTGAAAAATAGAAAGTGTTGAAGATAGTTGTACGGGCAAAGTTATAGATCCTACTGAGTAGTTTCTATTCTGAAAAAATCTCGAAAAAGTTTTGGAGCGTTTAGAAGAAGATCGAGATCAAACTTCAGGAATTTTCAAGTAAATTGAGTACTACTCGAATGTAAAGTTAGACCGAGACCCAATTCCTTGACCATTAGAATCAACTCGTCAAGAGCTACAATCTGATGTATAATTATGCAATGTTTTGTTCATTTTCACCGACTTCGGTTTCACCCTCACCAAAAACTTGAGGTGTCTAGAAAACCACTTTCCACACGTTTTTTCAAAAAAACGTAAGCGATATCTTTAGGTTATTTTTGATGCTCTACACGATAGGCAAAGTGAAATTTTCACGGCTAATGGTGAATGTAATAGTGGGCGGACCTGCGCGGAAGCATCCCTTAAGGTTATTATTATAGAGTGGGACATGAACTATATAACTGTATTCTTTACAACTTTGAAGAATGTTCTATGTAAGGTTTATGAGATATTGAACTTTTAAAACTGAAGTATTTTGGGTTTTATCTCAGTATTTTAAACTTGGGTTTTGATAAGACCAACTTTCTATAATTTTTCTTGCATTCTCAGTTCGATTATGATCATAAAAAGCTGCTTTTCCAAATTTTTATATGGTAGCTGAAACCGCCGTTACTATGATGCCATTATCACTAGTAGTTAACTGGCCATTGTTCCTTTTTTCTGACGTAACAGTATTGCATGATAGTATTGCATATGAAAAAGTTGAATATCTCATGAACCTGACATGAAACATTCTTCAAAGTTGTAGAATACAGTTCATGTCCCTCTCTATAATAATACCTTTAAGCGGTTTGTCGAGAAAAGGGAGAACATATTGTAAAATTCATCACGGTGCTGATCAATTCACACTGAGAATGGCATCGAATCCGATAATTTTGCTTGGAGAGTAAAAGTCATTTTTCTCGGGATCTTCATCAGAGAAGACAGTGTCTTACGTAACTTGATGTGATCTACAAAACTAGATTGGTTCTAAATGAAGGGAAGAAAGTTGGTGTAATGACAGAACGTTTCAGATGGTTGTGCCCGTTTGGCAAAATAGATAAGAATACCGACTTTCTATCGTCGCCGAGAAAAGCTCATGAGATAGCGTTATGAACATTCTTTGTTCTTCTTTTGCCCATGTACAATCTTGCTACTATCAACCAGAAAAATCATGGAATACTCAATTACGAAACGCACCACGTGCGTATGTTATTGTGTTTCGCGTACAAAATAAGTGTGAAACACCTTCATGAAAGAGACCTATTTTTAAGCGTTCATTGGCCGTGCGTCAACCAATGACCTGATCAATTACCATGTTCTTAGCAACATTACTGTCATTCACCTGTACGAACACGTTTTTTAGTTTTATTCAGTACTTATAGTGTCTGAAGACTAGACACGAGATCGTGCGATTTCCACTCCGTTATTACCAGGGAAAAAATGTGTAATGCAGTGGTAAACTCTGAACAATCACTGTATTTAAAATTCTCATTAGAAACACTGCTTTAGAAAGAAATTCTTAGATTTCGTAGTGCAATCAGAGAAGCTGCGTAAATCTGCATGCAGTTGATCTTGCAACTAGTCCTCTGACACTATACTTAGCGAGAATAACGAAAAAAAATTGTTTACATAGGTAAGTGAAAGAAACATTGCTGTGTAGTTGCGATTTAATCACGAAATGCTGTTGTTATTGTTTCCGTTGCTTAGCATGGCATCATTTTCGTGATATTAGGTTTTTACTGTAACTTTTTGCGTTTTTGGTGCTATGTTTTTTACGATATATATATATACATATGAAACAGAATAATAATATAGAAAGACGATCGTATTTCGTCGAAAATAGGGTTTGGAGTCAAAATATTCTTACTGTATGTGAAGCTTGATATACATGCTGATTCTTATATAAAAAGAGTTTTTGATTATTTAACGATAATCATGTATTTATGTTTTTTGGCTCTCAGATATCTGCTCTTAAACGCACGATTTTTGATTGTTTTAGTTATTTGATACAAAATCTTGTTCAATATTCCGAACAGAACGATTGAAAAAATGGTCGAAGGCAATGAGGAGTAAATACGATCATTACAAAACATTGACACATAGTGTATTGGGCGAGAATGAAACAGTTAAAACTGTTTTGTCATAAACATGCGTTAAATTAACAATGACGTTGATTTAGTTAACAATTAAAACGTGCTTATGAATATTTAATATTGCCTCCTGTTGAAATGTGATTAATTGGTAAAAATTAAGAAATTAAAAATGTGAAAAGTCATCATAAATTGTCAAAGTTGAATTTTTCCTATTATAAAACAGAGAAATATGAGTAAGAAATTCGTTTCATTATCACTTCATTATCTAAGAACAATATTCGTATAATAATTATTTTTTTGTTACGTCTGATTTACTGTCCAGAGTGTTTTAATTGTTTTTGTTTTCGTATACAGTGAAAAGTACAATAGACAGATTTTTACTAAACATTGTTATTAAATCAGACATTTTTTCCTTTTTTCTTTTATCTAATTTAATGTGGTTAAAAACAAAACAAGATCAAACTTGACCTATGAGTTTTTTCTTTAAAAATCTATGATGATATTTCATCATTCCGGATTATGTTTGAAATAATTCATATCACTTATTTGTTATTGGATAGAAGTCACAGATGGAGTCATTTTTATAGTCTCTCTTATATTTATTTTTATTTTTCATTTTTATATAAACATAATATGCAACAAGTTCGTCGTTTGAGTCAATATTTCAAACGTTCTATACCTCGTCGATCATGCATGTATGTACCTGGTCATGATCAACATAAACTAGCAAAAATTCTTACATTACAAACAAAATCAGATTGTATCATTATCGATTGTGAAGATGCCGTAACCGATCTTATGAAAGATACAGCAAGAAAAAATACGCGACAATTTTTAAGAGAAAATTATTCAAAATTACAACAACGTGAAATATGTTTACGTATTAATTCTGTTCAATCAAAATATATTCAAGCCGATATCGATTATTTATTGAATGAACCAGTTGATTGTTTATTTTTGCCAAAGGTTGAAAATGTCGATGATATTAAATGGTTAGCTGATACAATGAAAAAACGAAATGTAACACCGATGAATTTAGCTATTTATTGTGAAAGTGCAAGAAGTTTATTTAATTTAAGAGACATTTTAACGGAAGCACATAAATATGAAAATTTATTATCTCCACAAGCTGTGGTATTTGGCTCAGATGATTTCTCAGGTAATCTATTTTTATCATCAGGTATATTGTACTAGAGAAAACTTTTTGTATGTGGAATAATTGCAATGTATTTTTTTTTCATCGATTTTTTGTGAAAAATTGAAATTTATTTTGAATCTTTTCGTGGTTTTTAGCAAATATTATCATTAGAAATCGTGGATGAAAGAAATCGTCACACTATCATTACTTTAGATAGCTGATATTTTCAAAAATTCTCGTGATCTTGTAGATACATTAAGGCTATGTATTTGACCACGATCATTTCTAAGAAATTTATTTGCAGTTAGCGTCACCAATGCACTGCACAAAGGAGCGTATTTAAATCACACCATGGCACGAAACTTATCTCGATAATCATAAGTCGGTTCTTGACAAACATTTTCGAAGAATGCTAATCGTATCAAAGTACGATGATGACATTTTTTTTTTTATTCCATCTTTATCTGTTCGCGAGATGTACCAAAATGGGACTGTTCTTATTTCTCAAAATTTCTCATCATCAAGATATCTGCTGAAGAGCTCGGGTGGGTCAACTAGACATAAATGTTATGAATATATGGTAAAATGATCATTGGATTTTATCTAAAATTCGAGAAATTTCGGGAATATTCTTGGCCATTTTTTTGACACAAACGGTACAATTGGATTAAAATTATCCAATATATGGATACTCAACTATTTTGAATTGTTGTAATTAATTTTAAGTATAAGTTTTCAGTTATACATATTTTGATGTCTTGACTATTAGATTATTTTTCCATTAGACTAATTTGACTATGTTTATTTTTAGCTGATGTTGGTATTGAACGAACTCGTGATGCCTCAGAATTATTATATGCACGTCAAAAATTAGTGACCACATGTAAATTGTATAAAATACAAGCAATCGATATGGTCTATATTGATTATAATGATTTAGATGGATTAAAGGAACAATCGTTACAAGGTGCACGGATGGGTTTTACGGGAAAACAAGTAATTCATCCAAAACAAGTACCTATTGTTCAACAAGCATTCACACCGTCAGCCGAACGAATTAAATGGGCACAAAAGTTAATTGCATCATTTGAAGAACATCAAAAAGCTGGACAAGGTGCGTTTACATTCGAAGGACTAATGATTGATAGACCACTATTGTTACAAGCACAATATATACTTGAATTAAGCAAAGCAAAACAGTAGAAGACATTTTATGTTCCTTATTTAATTTAAAATAAACATTTTTACATAAATATTTTTTTTAATTTTTGATAGTTTAAGTTTTAGAATACCAAAATAGATTTAAAAAACTCTAATTTTTCTCAACAATACCTTGATATTCAAAAAAAATTTTCATAATCAATGAAAATTGCTGTGATCTTGAAAAGGTTTTTTACAAATCTTCCTACGTGAGAGAATGATTTTACTAGTTTTAAGTAAAAAATCAAATTGCGCAGATAAATTAGTTTATCTTGATGTTCTGAAGTAATTTGAATTGATTTTCAGTGAATGATGAACGTTTTAATTTTTAATTTTATGTGAATACATTACTAGACAAAATTACAGAAATGATTGTTTTTAAGTTTTTTTGTTCGACTAAAATAGCTAAAACAAATCCGAAAAGTTATTTCAATAGCTGAAAAAGTCTTCAATCATATGAGATTCATATGAAAATTCCTGAAAACCAGGACTTTGCAAAAATCAACATTTTAGAAAATCCTAAAAAGTCAAGTCTCAGGATTCAAATTGAAATTTTTTATGAATAGCGTAGTTGTGTGTAACAAACATTTCTGAGTAAAACTAGACGCCACCGAGCTCTCCACGACTTTTTTCATCGAACTGTACTCAATTTGCGTAAGGATCCTCCGCGTGAAAATCAGCAAAATCGCTAGAAAATGAGCGAAAACAATCGTGTAATGGATACAGTTCGATGAAAAAACGCTTTGTTCTACACGAGTACGCTATTCATAAAAGTTTCAATTTGAATCCTGACACTTGACTTTTTAGGATTTTCTAAAGTTTTCCATCTAATATAGAGGATTACTACGTTTTTAAATTTTCTTGGAAAAACAAACATTTCCACGAAGTTCAGTGTGGTTGATAATCTATGTTTCTAATAATTTCCGAGATTATCACATCATGAAAGATTTTGAAAAGCATTTTTTGTAGTACTACGTGCCCGGTCTTACGAGGAAAGGACACCAAGTGATAAATCGCTTCTAGCTTAAAACTTAGTGAACAATAGGTAATCGAATGTGCTGATTCCGGATACTAACATGAGACGGGCCGCTAGGCCTCCAAAGACTGGAT